AGATTAATCTTGAGCATTTGGAGAGCCCTTTTTGGATCTCTACACCTACTTTATGCCTTGCAAGCTATCCTGGTAAGTAGGCCAGAAATTGCGCTCCTTAGTAGAGTGCCAACTCCAGGTTCAGGAATTCCTGGAGATTTGGGGGTGGAGCCTGGGGGACATGGAGTTTAGGGAGAGGAGGAAGCGCAGCAGAGATGGGATGCCATACAGTCACTCTCCAAAGGAGCCATTTTCTCCCGGGGAACTGATCAATTGTAATTCCGGGAGATCTTCAGGCTCCACCTGGAGGGTGGCAACCCTACTCCTGACAGGTGGGCGGCTTAGACGATAACGGATTCGATAAATGATTGCCTGCAGTCACTCAATACTCTCTGAACTAAGCAAAAATTTGACTCGGGGTCTTCCAAGCGCATGCCCTGCACCCAGCTGTTGGAAAAGGCACCCTCTGCTAGCATGTGACTGTTCCAGACATCCTGGAACTGAGCCTTCTCCCAGGATTGGATTGCAAGTCCACACCTCTAGGAGAGTGAGAAAACGGTATTTCTTTGCAGCTGGGAGACCTAGAAATTATTACTTTGCTGCAACTGGGAAAACAAGAAACTGGTTTTGCTCTGTCACTATCAAAAATGGGTGGGACCACAGCACTGTGGTAGAGCAGCTGCTCGGCATGCAGAAAGTACCAGGTTCAGTCCCTGCAGTCTCCACTGAAAAGGATCGGGTTGTAGGTGGTATGAAAGAACTCATCCGGAGACCCTGGGGAGCAGCTGCCAGTCTGAGTTGACAATACTGACCTTGATGGACTGATTCCATATAAGGCAGCTCAGCTGCATGTGCATGTGTATATGTACAGATGTGCAGTCCTAACCACGCTTAGATGTGGGAAGTGCCCTGTAGTTGCAGCTGACTTATGACGACCCAGTAGGGCTTTCCAGGCAAGAGATGAACAGAGATGGTTTGCCACTGCCTGCCTCTTTGGAGCAGCCCTGGACTTCTTTGGTGGTACATCCAGAGGTCATTTTGGGGGGGATCGCAGGGGATCGCAGTTCCCCCGGGTGAGGTGTGGGGGGCGGGGCACATGACGAAGCCCCGCC